CTCCGGTTCTCTTTCTTCCGTATTATATGTCAAGGTTTCTATTTATCCATTTCAATACTATCTTAACCTCTGAGTCCAAAATACCCCAATGTTTGCATAGAGTTTGATTATTTTAAAATCAAGGCTCAAAATGTCGTTGTAAACTTCGGCTATTGATGGGCTCGTTGGTCTAGGGGTATGATTCTCGCTTTGGGTGCGAGAGGTCCCGGGTTCAAATTCCGGACGAGCCCTTGCTTTTGTATCACTACCCAGTCTGAACCAATGACTCATTTAATAACTTCTCATAATTCAGACAGAATGTCTGATCATATGTTTTGGTTTTTGTATTAAACATTTCAATTCATGAATTTTAAATCAGGCGTCATGCCGGAGATATGCCCTTCGATAGCTCAGTTGATAGACCGGTGGACTGTAGGGGTAGAATGCTGAGATCTATAGGTCGCTGGTTCGAATCCGGCTCGAAGGAACTTTTTTAATAGGGAGATCTAAGTAAATTTGTTATGTCTGCATAGACTTTCATTATATTGAATAGGTCGTTGTGAACATCGCCTTTTGTTCAAATCCGGAAAGATTCCTCACTATTGTGTAATTGCCCATTCAAGATCAAATTTTTACTTAATAATAACAATTTCTCATCAATCTGACAGATTGTCCGATCATGTGTTTTTTTCATGTTATATCTCAATTTATGAACTCCAACTCAGGAGTAATGCTTCCATAGACGTGTGTCCTTCGATAGCTCAGTTGGTAGAGCGGTGGACTGTAGTGTTACAAAGCTGATATCCATAGGTCGCTGGTTCGAATCCGGCTCGAAGGAGCTTTTGAAACAGATGAAATTTGTAATTTTTACACAATATATGATTTGAGTTTCACCCTTCCTCTCTCCGGTTTTCTGTCTTACGTAATATATCGCAATATTTCTATTTATCCATTTCAATGCTATCTTATCCTGTCAGTCCAAAATACCCCAATATCTGCATAGAGTTTAAGTATTTCAAAAATGAACGCTGAAAATGTCGTTGTAAACCTCAAGCTATCGATTGGCTCGTTGGTATATGTGTATGATTCTCGCTTTCGGTGCAAGAGGTCCCGTGTTCAAATCACGGACGAGACTTCGCTTTTGTATCACTTCCCAGTCTGAACCAATATCTCATTTATTAACTTCTCGATATTAGGACAGAATATCTGATCATGTTTTTTGGTTTTTGTATTAAACATCTCCATTTATGAACGTCAACTCAGGCGTAATGCATTCCTAGTCGTGTGACCTTCGATAGCTCAGTTGGTAGAGCGGTGGACTGTAGTGATAGAAAGCTGATATCCATAGGTCGCTGGTTCGAATCCGGCTCGAAGGATCTTTTGAAATAGATTAAATTTGTAATTTTTGAACAATATATGATTTGGGTTTCACCCTTCCTCTCTCCGGTTCTCTGTCTTTCGTAATATATCCCAATGTTTCTATTTCTCCATGTCAATACTATCTTAACCTTCCAGATAAATTTTGTAATAGATGAAATTTGTAATTTTTAAAACAATATATGACTTGAGTTTCACCTTTCCTCTCTCCGGTTCTCTTTCTTCCGTATTATATGTCAAGGTTTCTATTTATCCATGTCAATACTATCTTAACCTCTGAGTCCAAAATACCCCAATGTTTGCATAGAAGTTGATTATTTTCAAAATCAAGGCTCAAAATGTCGTTGTAAATTTTGGCTATTGATGGGCTCGTTGGTCTAGGGGTATGATTCTCGCTTTGGGTGCGAGAGGGCTTGGGTTCCAATCCCGGAGGAGCCCTTGCTTTTGTATCATTACCTAGTCTGAACCAATGACTCATTTAATAACTTCTCATAATTCATACAGAATGTCTGATCATGTGTTTTGGTTTTTGTATTAAACATTTCAATTCATGAATTTTAAATCAGGCGTCATGCCGGAGATATGCCCTTCGATAGCTCAGTTGATAGACCGGTGGACTGTAGGGGTAGAATGCTGAGGTCTATAGGTCGCTGGTTCGAATCCGGCTCGAGGGAATTTTTTTAATAGGGAGATCTAAGTAGATTTGTTATGTCTGAATAGACTTTCATTATATTGAATAGGTCGTTGTGAACATCGCCTTTTGTTCAAATCCGGAAAGATTCCTCACTATTGTATAACTGCCCATTCAAGATCAAATTTTTACTTAATAATAACAATTTCTCATCAATCTGACAGATTGTCCGATCATGTTTTTTTTTTTCATGTTATATCTCAATTTATGAACTCAAACTCAGGAGTAATGCTTCCATAGACGGATGTCCTTCGATAGCTCAGTTGGTAGAGCGGTGGACTGTAGTGATACAAAGATGATATCCATAGGTCGCTGTTTCGAATCCGGCTCGAAGGAGCTTTTGAAACAGATGAAATTTGTAATTTTTAAACAATATATGATTTGAGTTTCACCCTTCCCTCTCCGGTTCTCTGTCTTACGTAATATATCGCAATGTTTCTATTTCTCCATTTCAATACTATCTTATCCTGTCAGTCCAAAATACCCCAATATCTGCATAGAGTTTAAGTATTTCAAAAATGAACGCTGAAAATGTCGTTGTAAACCTCAAGCTATCGATTGGCTCGTTGGTCTATGTGTATGATTCTCGCTTTCGGTGCAAGAGGTCCCGTGTTCAAATCACGGACGAGACTTCGCTTTTGTATCACTTCCCAGTCTGAACCAATATCTCATTTATTAACTTCTCAATATTAGGACAGAATATCTGATCATGTTTTTTGGTTTTTGTATTAAACATCTCCATTTATGAACGTCAACTCAGGCGTAATGCATTCCTAGTCGAGTGACCTTCGATAGCTCAGTTGGTAGAGCGGTGGACTGTAGTGATAGAAAGCTGATATCCATAGGTCGCTGGTTTCGAATCCGGCTCGAAGGAGGGGAAAGCGGAAAACATGATCGAAATCAAAAGGCTAAAATCGCCAGATCGAGATAATTCAAGATGAACGAAACAAAAGGGACATACTAATGGCAAAAATGAAAAACCTGAAGAAGGGGAAAGGCCCACCAAAACCTTTTTATGAAAAAATCCGGCGCAGATCTAGGCAAACAACAATAGAAGAGCCTGGTGACAAATGACCAAAATGTAAAAACAAATCCCGGGAGATCATATCAATAGTAGAAAGTTTCTATAAGAACCTATGGGGCAAAGAGAATATAACGCAAGAACAATACCAAAATCGTTATCTAAACTTAATGGGCTCTTCTAAAATTGCAGATGAGGATAATATCATACTAGAAAGTTATATCTCACAGGAAGAGGTATATAGGGCGATAAAATTTATGGGAAACGATAAATCCCCAGGATTTGATGGTCTATCCAAAGAATTCTACCTGACCTTCTGGAACTCTATTAAAAAGCAATTTACTCAACTTATGAATAACATATTATATTTCGGCCAAATACCAAAATCTGATACCATAGCGAAAGTTAAATTAGTATACAAGAAGGGAGACAAAACAAATTAAAAAATTGGAGGCCAATCACAACGCTCAATGCAGACTATAAAATCCTATCAAGAATCCTTGTTAAACGATTAGAACCAGTACTAACAAAATCATAAGTCCATCCAGGAAATGCGCACTCAAGCAAAGATGTATGGAAGATGTTCATTATAATATAGACGCTATAATTAGACACTGCAAAATGAATAATATCCCCGGATCACTAATAATAATAGACAATCTTAAAGCTTTTGATAGAGTGAATCATGACTTCTTATTTAAAATTTTACATCAAATTGGACTTGGAAATAGAATCTCAAAAGCAATTAAAAGCATGTATTACGGAATTAAAAGTCAGGTAGATGTAAACGGTAGACTCACGCAGGAAATCGATATAGGGCAAGGAATTAGGCAAGGATGCCCGTTAAAGTATGCTTCTCTACGCCATCAATATAGAGCCCCTAGCAAGATCGGTACAATTAAATGCCAATATACATGGTATCCAACTGGGGAGATACGAGCATAAACTCGATCAGTTTGCTGATGATATCACGTTCGCAGTTAGAGATCAATTATCTATTACAGAAATCTTTCACGAGCTAGACAATTTCCATTTAGCAACAGGACAAAAAAATAAATATAAGACCGAAATTCTCTGTATTACAAAAGAATCGCATAATTTAGTGAACAATTCGCCACATGGGAACTACATAAAACAAAACACCATAATACTTGGAATACAATTTGGAAATATGGACTTA